ATATATATATATATATATTACATCTATTATTTAGTGCTAGTGATTTGTATTCTGTTCTTAATGCTTAGATAAACTAAGCATTTATCTTTGATCTTGGATTTAGAATTTGGTTGGAAAACGTTTTCTGAATCTAGATTTGAAACAAATCACCTATTAGTTTTGAAAGCCAGGGATGGTTTTGAAATAAATAGTTGCAACAAATTCTGATTCTTAATGCGGGATATTTAACTGAATGAAGTGAGGAATCATTCATTGAGTTGAATATCTTAGAATTTCTTATGCCAAGGAATTGGGTCTGAATGAATATAGAGAACTCAATGGAAATGAGTAATAGAATCATTTGCAAGAATTAATAGGAATACATAGGAGGGAGATTGATGAAATTTAATCCCAACTGTTTATCATATCTGTTTTCTTAAATTTAATTTAACTTTGGTTACTTAAGTTTAAATCACTGCTCATATCAAATATTTAACATGTGTGATTATTCAAGCTTTGAATTTACAAGTAACAATTAGTATAATAGAAATCAAAATCTACTTCACAAGTCCCTGAGGAATGACAACCTTTTTACTATACTATAGAGACTTGGGTGCGCTTGCTCAGAAAATCAACAACTCTCCACTAGGAGTAGATACATCAGTGGTGCGTCGAGACAATGTATCTTGCAAGTTTCACTCATGCATACAAGCGAGTGAGACTCAAGTTCCCAATCCAGTTGTCCCCAACATCATGAATCTTCATACTTTTATATAAGGGAGACCTTCCCTGACAACGTATTCTACATCATACCCATCACAAAACACACATGATATATGTCACACAAGACTCAATGCATGCTCATATTAATCATATTCACAATTCTCAATTCACATTAATTATATCCTGCTAGGCAATTTCACCTAGACTTTCATACAATTAAGTTAAACTTAGACTTAGTCACATGATTAATCGCTCGTTTTTCACATAATAAATATCTCACAGTTTTAAGAATCACATATTGTATATCATCAAATTACACACAACACCCTAAATTACACATACTTTACTCATGGTTCACATATTAAATAGTCATTTCAATTCATCAATTAATTGCATATAATTTAGGTGCAGAAACAGGGTGACGCTTGACATAGGGTGCCCTACCCCAAGTGCAGTCAAGGTCGAGAGTACTCTTTGCTCTTTAGGAGGATCGTGCTCGACACAATCCCCCTAACATCAACAAATTTCACTATAAGGAGCCTTTAGAGCTCTCACGTCCAATGTGACCATCCTTACACCCGACTCAAAATCATAAAGAGCACTATATGGCTCTTATGCTTGACGTGGACCTTACCACGCCCGACATGATCATCATAGAAAGCCTTCCATGCTCTCTGTCATGCTTCGCACTCGACGACCCCATGTGTCACCCGACACGATATCAGTAAAGGCTCTTATGCATAATTTTTGAATTACGATAATAATACACTAACAAGTATGGTTTCACGAATTCATATGATATTAGGGGATCTACAACATGATTATTTTGTTCTTTTGCATTGATTTTCCACTCACATATGATCTTACTAATAATTTGGTTTATCCCATCCTTAGGGTTCTTCTAAAAACCCACAAATACTCATATATTCATAAATAGACAATCCCACATATTAGAAACAAAATCATAGTTTAATAACATAATCAAAACGCATGGCAGTTTATAGTTTGTACAAAATTAAGGTCACAATTAAAATTATGATTACTCCCTCATGCATCAAACACACAAGAAGGTTTAAATTTTTTACTTTATTTTATTTTGTACAACATTAATAAGCCCATTCATGTTTGTTGCTAGGTAATGGTATGTTAGGCAACTAATGTAACATCCTTGTGTTTTTTAAAATTAATAATATTCTCTTCGCTTGTAATTAAAGCGTATAATTTACTTTTGTACATGTTACAAAAAAGAGTGTACCAATAATAAAAAGTATTAAGAGCATTTTCAATGGTGAGTGTTTGCATTGTATCTTACTAATAAGTAACATGGTTTATTAGCAACTCCCATATAATAGTATAATGACATGCCATAGAAAATTGTTTTAAAATAAATAATGACTCTTAAATAAGTAATATTTTTATAAATTAAAAAAAAATAACTTTTAGTCTTGATGCTTTCAATGAAAAATAGAAAACAAAGACCACTCTCACAAATAATAATAATAATAATAATAATAATAATAATAATAATAATAATAATCATCATCATCATCATCATCATCATCATTATCATCATCATGCGTCATCTATCTTTCATCACCCATGAATCAAAGACTAATCACAAAAACATTAACATTGTGTATTTTTTATGATTATGTAATACTTGCTTTTAATATTTAATATTTTTATACGCATTGAATAAATTTTGTAAATTTTATTATTAAATTTTTATATGTTAAACTTTATTCATTATGTTTAATTAAATTGATATTTAATTATAATGATTACATTAACTTTTAATTGGAGCAAAACTTAAAAAAATGTAGTGTGAAATGTTTAGAAATTATATGGTACGATGAATCTCATTTAAATAAAATAAGAACCTTAACAAAATACTTATAAAAAAATATCATTAAAGATGCTCTAACAAAAATATTTGAAAGATATTATCCAAACTTTTTTTCAAATATTTTTACTACTGATCGACATTCACTAAAAATTAATGATATTTTTTTTGTCTCATTTTGTTATTCAATTAACTTTAATTATGGTTTAATAATTTTTAATTTTAACTAATTTGTTATGGTAAGTAATTTATGCTTTGATATATGATTATTTTAATTATTAAAAATTTATTTTAAATATTAAAATTAATTTTAAAAAATGCAACATATTAATATAAATTGAAACAGAAGTTAAATAATTTTTAAAATGTTATCATTAAAAAATATCCTCCCACACAATAACTATTTTTGTTTAATATATGAAGTGACTTCTATAATTATTTGTTAGTTAGTCATATTATTTCATTTTAATGCATAATATAATATTTAAAATATATGTAAATATGTATTATTAAATAATATATATTAAAAAATTTAAATTATGTGACAATTAATATGTTATGCTATAAAATATATAATCTAAATATTTATTATATATAACTAAATTTTATAATAACTTGCATAAAAATAAATATTATATTTAATTATATAAATGACATGATATTTAAAAATTTTAATTTTTTAAATATGTTAATTTTATTTGAAAATATATGATAAATAATTATAGGCTAAATACCTATTTTGGTCCTTTATAATCTTTTTTTGTTTCAATGTAGTCTCACTTTTATTTTTGGTCTCAATTTGGTCCCAAGAACTAATTAATTGGTTTCAATTTAGTCCCTAATAAATTAATTGGTTTCAATGTGGGACTTCCGTCCAAATTTATTTAACGGAGTTAACTGTTGCATGGGTGGATGCCACGTGGATGCATAGGTGGATGCCACGTAGATGCTACGTGGATGACAATTTTTTGAAAACACCTGGTACCAGAACGACCCGTACTGAAACCAGAATGGCCCGTTCTGGTTTCGGACGGCTAAATTATAGTTCACGGTTGTGAATCATGGAAGGAAAAAGACCCAAGGTACAAAGCATTTCAAACACTGAATTTGGTGATATTGACAAAGGAAATTGATAACTTCAATTGCTAAATAGTTAGGCTATACAATGTATTATTAAGGACAATGCAATGTATCACTAAAGGATGAACCACTTACTACCAAATTGACACTATACAGTAAAGGATGAAATGACACTATATTGTCAATGAAATGACACTATACAGTAAATGATGAAATGACATTATTAATTATATTTTAATTATGCTGTTATATCTAATATAATAAATATATTAATATTTTTATATATATTTTATTTTATTGTTTAATTATTTTTTATTTTGTGGTAAAATTATTTTCATTTTTAATGAAGAAAAAATTTACTTACTTCAAGAGTAAGTCTTGATAGATTTATTCTATTTAATAATTAATGTTCTATATCAAATTTTTAAGAATTTAATTGTTAAATTAAAAAGTTTTTCATGTATAGATCAAATTTATAAAAAAATTTAAAAAATTAAAAATCATATAATACTTCGTTAAATTAATTCAAATTAACATATAAAATATTTTTATTTTAAATGAATGTAAAAATTTAGAGGACACTAAAAGAAAATAAATTAATAATTTTATTATGTTTATCCTATTAATTTTTATCATTTTATTCCTCTAATTTTAAATAAGTTACAAAAAATTATAACGTGACACTTAAATATTTCTTCAGATAGAAAGAGAAAAAGAAAAAGTTATTACTTTATTTATAAGGCAATTGTATTTTATAAAAATAAGTAATTTTAAAATTTTTACCATAAAAAAAATATTTTTCAAAATTATTACATTTTTTTAATAAAATTAATAAATAATATTCTATTCTCAGTTTTGGAACGGGCCGTTCCCCGTTCTGATTTCAGAACGGCCCATTCTGAAACCCGGACCGTTTTGGTGTATTCTTTGTGTGTAAATTTTGCATTTGGAACGTCCTGTTTTTGATACAAAATTAACACACCAAAAGCGCATCCAGAACGGCCCGTTCTGGTTTCAGAATGGACCGTTCTGATTCCAGGTGTTTTAAAAAAAAAATTCATCCACGTGGCATCCACCTATGCATCTAGGTGGCATCCACCTATGCATCTAGGTGGCATCCACGTAGCCAATAGTTAACTCTGTTAAAGAAATTTGGACGGAAGTCTCACATTGAAATCAATTAATTTATGTGGGACCAAATTGAAACCAGTTAATTAGTTTGGAATCAAATTGAGACAAAAAATAAAAGCGGGACTACATTAAAACAAAAATAATTATAAGAGACCAAAATAGGTATTTAGTCATAATTATATTGTGATATAAAATAATTTCATTTGAAACGTGTATAATGTTTGTAATTAATTATTGGATTATATTGCTTTTTGAATCCATCCGTGGCATGAATAGGGGGTATGCAAAGCTCTGGAGGGTGGGTGAAGCGAGAGAGTTATTGAAGGCAAACGACATCGTTTAGGGGTGTTGGATTGGCGAAGGAAAATGAAGGCGTTGGGATGGTGGCTGATAGCGGTAGGCACGCTTCGATTGGCTTCCGTATGGTTCGGTTTCTTCGACATTTGGGCTCTTCGCCTCGCCGTCTTCTCCAAAACCACAAGTAACTCTCTTTCCTCTTTTTACTCCAACCTCCTTGCATCAATCTAGATAGATCCTCGCTCCTTTCAATGCAAGATATTGTCGGTTAGGTTAGGTTAGGTTACGGTACTCCACTTGCTTCTTGCTTCCTCTCTGTTGGGGCTTCTGTCATTCACAATTCATCAGTTTTCTCCCATCTGTCACTATCAGATCTTCTAGATCCCAATGCACTCGATACTGTTAGCTTTCACAACGATACGTCCTTGTTCCCCCTTCGCTTTTCACAAGCTATCAGAATGTTTCCACAATACTTTCTACATCGATTGCATTCTCAATTCCCAAATTCCCCTTTCTCGTGTTAACTTAACTACTACCAGTATGTAATGTATGCATCACGCAACCGCTTCTGGATTTTTTTTTTTTTAATGTTCAAAAATAAATGTAGGAGACGGTATTCATTTGTATATTATATATTGCTTCAACTAAATGGAGGCAGCCATTCAACTTTTTAGTTTAATTTCTGTTTTAGTCACCTTTTTTTTTTTTTTTTTTTTTAATTATGGTATCGACAGAAGTATTTAATGATTAAAGAAAGACCTTGACTTCAACACTGAGACTATGGCTTGTGTTACATCTTATACTTTTTATTTTTGAAAATATTTTATATTTTTTTTCCCCTTTTTTTTTTTTTTTTTTTTTAATTATGGTATCGACAGAAGTATTTAATGATTAAAGAAAGACCTTGACTTCAACACTGAGACTATGGCTTGTGTTACATCTTATACTTTTTATTTTTGAAAATATTTTATACATTGTTCTTTTGCCAATTTAATCAAATGAATGATATGTTACCCCTCTGTTAACTATTGGATGAAATCTTGGGACGACAGACTTGATTTGATTAATTGAAAAACTATGGAAATTATGTGTGAATAATTTAAATTAGTAGGACTAAATTGCGCACAAAATATGGAGAGAAGAAATGTAATTAAGCCTACGTATTGTTTCTAGATGCCAACATGTATTATATCGATAGAAATCTGGTTTGGCTAAGTGGTTAATCCAATGACAACTAAATCTCTTTGAGGGAGTGTGAATGAGAAAGTATAGAGTGAGTTGTCTCATCACAACAAGTATGCAAGTTCGGTTTTGATTGCACAGATAGGGAAATTTAGCCTGTCAGGAAAAAAACTGAAAATCTGTTTTGAGTCTTCTGAGTAATTTATTGCTGATTGTCTTTTAGGGTAAAGGATGGTTTTAGAACTTGGAAAGAGTTGAAGGATGCAAGTTAACAAGTATTTTGATTGTTTTTTAAATTCTGAAGTATTTCATGTGTAGAGGTTTAATATTCTTTGACAAATTAAATACTGTTATTACCCTTGTCAACTGTATCTTTTTTGCTTGCCTAGCCTTTTTGAGGCTGGGTTTAACCTTAAGTCAGCTTTGAACATCACGGATATTGACGATGTAATGTTGCAAATTGTTCACAATTTCGCATAATATCCTTTCGTAAATCATCTCGAAAGTTGTTCCCAGTGTATGCAGTCAAAGTAATTGGATATTTTGAATCCGAATCCTTTTATCTATCGTAAAACTCTTGCTAGGAGCGGCACATGCTTAATGAAGCGAGGATCCAATTAATCAAAACAAAGCAAACACTCTTCTTTTGAGTCTTTACTATTAGTAATGGCTACGACTGGCAGAGCAGGCTTTATTTTCACAATGAATTAGAAATGTTGTTCTGCTAAGCTTGTTTAAGCTTTATATTAATTATAGTTTCAAAAAATATCCTAATGTGGATTTCAGAATTATCAGAATTGATGAGTTTATTATTTGTTGCAGTGACTGAAGTTCATGGGCGCACATTTGGAACTTGGACATTGTTGACCTGCACCCTTTGCTATATCTGTGCATTCAACCTTGAAAACAAACCTCTCTACCTGGCTACTTTCCTGTCATTCATCTATGCATTTGGTCATTTCCTGACCGAATACCTAATTTATCATACAATGGAGATTTCTAATCTCACTACTGTTGGCATATTTGCAGGTATGAAATTTTATTCTCGTGTCCCATCAAATTGGCATGCACTACATTGTTTCCTACTTTCCTTTAATTTTAAACCTAAACTTAGTGGTTTTTCTTCTTTTTCTATATCTCGCCAATTATTTTTCTATCAACTGTGGGTTATGTGTTTATTCTTGCGTGCGAAATTTAATTGTTGGAGACGGTAATTTGTAGGCATGCTCAACCCTTTCAGTTGTCTTCTTGTTGTATATGAATTATTTGCTACTTTCTTTTTGCACTGCCCTAGTCAAAAAACTAAAAAGAAAGAAAAAGAATCTTGTACTCCAATACATGTCCTCTACTGCATACTTTAGTCACATTATTATTCTGGCATGACCTCGGTTTGGCTTATTATTGTCCTATTATGTTAGCATTATTAATGGATGAAACACATTTTAACGTCTAAGTTTACTGATATATAGGAACATCGATAGTATGGATGCTATTGCAATGGAATTCGCATTCGAAAGTCCACTTGAAGCACTCTTAGCAAGCAAAAGAAGATGGGGCAAAAGTACAAAATCATGGATGCAGTGCTTCACCATGTTAGCCTGTTGTTGAAAATGATTGATTTTGAATAGATGAGATCCCTGGTGTTTAGAATTTTGAAGATGAATTGTAGTCCATATTAATTTTCTGTTTACTGCAAGTATTAAGCTAGTAGTCGTGTTAGTGTCAGAATTATTGGGACAAAACGAACCTACCTTTCATCTATAGTCCTTACCTTACCATTAACTTGTTCCCAATTCGTCAAATCAACGTCACTAGATATTAGACATGGACATCTGAGGATTTAAAAAAAAAAAGAAAAGAAAAAAGACGTAGGTAATGTTTTGTAATTATTAAAGAGACTAAGAGTAATTTTTATGCATTTTGTGTAATTTTAATAACATCAATAAATTAAAAATTATTATCAATATACATTTTAATATAGTAATTATAAGAATTTATACATTTACCATATATAATAATTTTGGTTAAATAACTGTATAAAAATATTTACATTATATACTATTTATTCATTATTAATTACATTGATACCAACTTCTCTCTTCTATTATTATTATTACTACTTCAAATAGGTACTGTGATCCAAGATATTGAAATCCTAATTATTAGATTTATTAATCATATGCATCTTCAATAATCGTTAGTGAAACATTAGTAAAGCATTGTTTTTTTTTTGCTCTACTGCACTTTTAACAGTTCCAATTCTATTAATAATGAATATACTCAACTTATTTCGTGAAGCTAGGTTGATATTTCTCTTAATAATAGTGTTAAAAAATAATGCCAAAGCCCACAACCGTGTAACACTGTTTCTTTAGAAAAGGAATTTGCACTGATTCCGATTCCTGAATCTATCTTGGGACAAAACAAAACTAACATTTTCTGCCATATCCACATATAAATGCCTGTTGCATATATGCTTATTATTTCAAAAGAAGAAGTCTCACATAGATTAGATTGACAACTCAAGTTTTGAATTTTTATATGTCAAAGTCTTTCTAACAATTTCAAAGGATAAGCAAAAGGTGCAGTGTTCGCATACATTAGAATGCCTCTTGCAACTCTGTTTGATCACTAATGTATGCCTCTTGCAACTCTGTTTGATCATCCAAAAAAGCTAGTGAGTGTTATCACACGTCTCAAAAAGAATTATCTAATGTAATTGTTCAGTGTTTCAGATTACATATATGTGCATTCACCTAATTAAAGAACAACAAAGCCCACAGTTTCTGCACCCTTCGCCATTTTTGTTGGTATCTATCACGAGAGCATTCAATTCAGAAGGAAATGGACCATCTAATACTACAGACAAAAACAATGGGTCCAGCCTCAATTATAAAAATGTCGGTCATTCCTTTTCAATACGAACTCAAACATGAGGACCAAAAAAAAAAAAAAACTATAGTCCAATTCACATGAAACAATATGTTAAAACTTAAAACCACTATTCATTATCCACTTATTAAAGAATTTCCTCGACACTTTAATCCTATTTGGCATAACATCCCAACATAAGTTCTACACCAGTTTTTTAAATTCCATATCACTTTAATTTTCACTATCAAGCAGTTGTCCCATCTAAAAAGAAAAAAAAGCTTCCAACAGCATCCATGTTAGCTTGTGCCTACAAATTCAATCTTAAGTAACGAATCAGAATTTGATCAAGCACCAAAATCAAGCACATCATCCATCCCTTTTGTAAGTAAGACATTTGGTAATGAGCCATGTTCAATTGTAACTTAGTCTACCACTTTAGGACCTGTATTGCTTGGGACCATGATTTTCTCCTTCTGCTTTTCTGTTCCTACCCTTTTTAAAATTTCCACCTCTTCCTCTGTTACTTTCCTTAAACCTCCAAATTCAAATTCAGAACCTAAGCTTTTTGTCACCCTCATGACAACCCTGGATGCACCATTCTCTTTGTTAAGCTCCTCACTTGTTTCTTGTGTATCTTTTGCACCTTCATCGTGGCTTTGATCTTCTAATAAGCTCATACTCATATCTTCCATCAATTTTCCCATGTTTTCACCATCTTCATCTTCATTTTGTTCCTTCTCCTTGTCTTCTACATCAATCAGGTCTTCTACTTCCTCAGATTCTTCCTCTTCAACTTTATCTCCATCATGTCCAATGCCACCGCTTTGTTCCTTTACCCCTCCATGTTCGTTTTCTTCTGTGTCTTCCATCAATTCGAATGGCTTATTATTTGTCCATGGATGCAACTCTTTTCTTCCAAGTTTTTTATTTTCAGGACCAGCCTTCAGATTTCCAAATATTTTTGCAGAGTTTTCCTCATACGACTTCTTATCATGTGAGTGTTTGAGTTGGTAAAGCAACCATATGCCAACAACGATCAAAGTAAATATTTTAAAACCTTGTTTTACCTTGAAGCCTTTTGTCCTCTGATTTCTTTTGGGTGATTGCTTCCACATGTTTTACTCATGAATTTCTAGATCAAAGTATCAACAACAGGTGTTAGCAGAATCTCTGTCTATGCAATCGTGTGACTAAGAAGCATATCAGAATTAAAGACAAACATAAGGTAGAGTATTCACAAAGTAAAGGTGCCTTTACTATAGAAAAATTATTAAGCATTATGCATAACAAAAATAATATTATGCTAGAGGCTGAGGAAAACAACTCAAGACAAAATGATTGGTAAGTTTCTTCCATGATAACAATAATAGTCTTATTTGAACACAGTTGTTATAATGTGTTTGTCCTTAAAGTAGTCAACAAATTGTAAACAAGGAATTCCTCTAACACCAAAGTAATGCCTTTTTTTTCCCTCTAAAGCTCTAAACCGAGCTATTCAGTATCACTCTTCCATCATAGGTTATCCACACTTTTGCCTCCACTTTACACAGTGGATTCTATCATTCTAATATCAAATAATCGATGAGTTGGCTACTGTATTTTATGGTTTTGTAAAAGAACACTTTTGCGCAAAAACAATTCCTTTGACAAAGACAATAACCCCATATGCTGAATCAAATCCAATTTGACATAAAAAAATGTATTAAAGCATATATACTTAGTAGTTGCTACTTCCAATTTGGAATAGTGAGATGGGTGAGCACATGGATCAGGTCCAAGCTCTAGTGTTGAAAAAGGAGACACATGAAACAATTAAACCAAAAATGTATGAAAAAATAGAAGAAAAAGAGCAAGAGTGAATATACATGCCTCAAGGAAAAGTGGGTGCATGCCAGGTGAGTTGATGATTTGCAAAGCTAATAGAAACTTATGACTAAAACTAAATATAGGAATAAGTGAGAAAAATAAAAAAAAATTGAAGCATATCTCTGATGGAGCAAAAGGAAAAGTCCACAATGAGAGAGAGAGAAGATGGTGGTCAGTGGTCACGGGCCAGGTAACAGGTTAGCCATACATGAATATGATGTACGTGTGTGTTCTAGATTTGTGGCATTAATGGGCGTTCAAAACGACGTCGTTTCTGCAGCAAAGGGTATTTATTGTAGGTATTGCAACTGAACTCGCGAGTAGATAGAAAGATTTTTCATTTTTAATGCCAGGGTTCATGCTCCTTCTTTTCTACACGTATTTTTCATTTATTTATATTATTAAACTTCTTTCACTATTTAACTATTTTGAGATTTTTTTTAAGAAGTCTCGAGTCCAATTAGGCATCGCAAACAATTCTTCACCCTGACTCCACAAAGGCTCATGATATATATACCTCTCTTTTTTTTATACGTACACCTCCTTTTTTTTAAAAAAAAATATATATTATAAAATTTTTTTAAAAAAAATTAATTTTACACTTTCAACCTTCAATTTTCTATTTTCTTCTTCTTATTCACACACTTTTTTTACTCTTTCAATTTTTTCATGTTACCAAAATAGGTAGGGTGAAGGAAAAATAAGGGGATGCATGTAAAAATTAAAAAAAGAAGGAAAAATGTGTGAAAAAAAGTACTAAATTAAATATTGTGGATGTAAAATTAAAAAATTTAAAACAAAAAATTAAGAATATTTTAAAATTTTAATTATTTTTTTAAAAGGAGGTGTATTTATAAAAAATAGGAGGTGTATATATCATCACCCCTCCACAAAAGGTGGGGCAAGAGGTGAATTTGGGTAAAGCTGTCAAAACGGGTCAATTCAGTCCATGTAGGCCGGTCTACCTTGACCTACTTTAAAAATGGGCCAATCCAATTCAACTCACTTTTAATTTTCTCAAAAAATTTCTGGCTCGGCCCGGCCCACCACGGGTTGGTAGGTTATACGGGTCAACCCACCAACCCACCAAAAATTAAAAAAATATATCAACAAAATTCAAGATTTTAAATTAATTATAAATTAACGTAATAATAATAAAATTAGCATCATTAATAGCCATAAATCATAACTCAGCATACAAAATTAAATACAAATCATGATAAAAGTTTAAAAAAAAAATTTCAATATCTCATCATACAAAATTAATTACAAATTCACGGGTTCAGTCCGAATGGGCTGGATTGGCCCACGGGCCATAGCTCATTTTGACTACTCTAAATTTGGGTAAACTTAGGGGTGTTCATAAAACTTGCATGTGGGTTGAGTGTACACATTAATTCGGTTAGGTTAAGACTTGGTATGTGAAGCCTATATTTTAAATAAATGACCTTTTTTTATAGTCCATATTCATCTTGTAAAGTCTACAGTCAAATGAATAAGTCCGCAAGTTTAATAAAAAAAATTTAAAAAACTATTTCTTCTTTTATGCAATAATATATCAGGTAGAAATACATGAAAAAAATTATAAAAATCAAAAATAAAATAAAGTAAATTATGAAAGTTTTAATATACAAAGGTTTATACATTTAAACTAAAATATTAAAATATTAATATATCAAACTTGTACATTTTATCTAAAATATATTAAGGTAGGAAAAGTGTAATATTTTTTAAATATAAAATATATTAAATTTACTACTTATTATTTATAGTTATTTATTGACAAAATACTAAAATTACTCATTATTTAAAATTCTTCATAAAGTTAGGGAAAAAATAATTCTCTTAAATGGGTCAGTCTGTGAATTTTGCAGATTAAGTTTGCAAAATCTGTGAATTTTGCAGACCAAATTTAATTTCTTTTATAATTATGCAAATTTTTTAAAATTAGGCCAGTCAACAGACTTTGCAACTCAGTATGTTGAATTGAGCCCATAGACCCACTCCTACTTGTAGTGAATTTGTCATAAATCTTCTTATTACAATTATAATTTATTTATATTTTTTAAAATAAAATATATTAAGTTAATAATTATATAATAATTTTAATAATGTATAAAAATGGAAGTTAATCACATTATTAGTTGATATATATAGTTTTAAATGTATTATTATAATAAAAAAATTGATTGATTGGAATTATATTGATGGCATTAGGGTTTTATCAGAAAACTCTATGCATATTGTCTCAAACTTTTCATTATTAGACCGATATTAGTAGTTTATTAATTTTATAAATTAAATAATTTAACTATTAAAATATTTAGTTTATATTTAAATAATTAAAAAAATCTCAAATATAATACACATACTAGTTTGACGGCTATCGAATGCCCTAACATATTATTTTGTTTTAAAGATTATGAAATTATTAATTTAATTTATATTTATTACTTACTATAAGTAGAAATAAAACTTCTCATATCTTTGAATATTTTATTTAAATAAAATTAAAAAGGAAAAACATTATAATAAAAAAAATATTATTTTAATTTATACATATACTAGTTTGGTGACTATGCAATGTATTAACTTATTGTTTTGTTTTAAAAATTTTGAAATTTTTATTTTTATTTATATTTATTATATATTGGTAGTGAAAAAATACACTCTTTGTATCTTTAAATATTTTATTTAAAGATTTAAATATGTTTTTATTCCTTCATATTAAGGTAAATTTATTTTTGGTTACTCAAATTTAAAATTGATGTTTTTAATTTCTATAATTTTTAAAAACCTTACTTTTAATCTCTCGTGTCACAAAACGTGATAAATTAGGACAATTATACAATATTAACAGAATTTAATATTTTTTTTCTGGTAAAGATATGAAAAATTACAAAGATGATCGCAATGAGGATTGAACCTAGGTCCTCATGCTTCTAACTACCCCAACCCCTCCCCACCCAACCACTAGGCTAACCCTAGTGGTCTAACAGAATTTAATATGAAGTTTTCATTGACAGAGATATTAATAGTAGATTTTATATGATGACAGATTTTCTAACAAAACTTAAATATAAGGATTAAAGTATTTTTTTTAAAATTATAAGAACTAAAAAGATTAATTTTAAAATTGAGAAATTAAAAATGAAATTATCTTAAATTTGATAGACTAAAAACATATTTAAGTCTTATTTGAATAAAAAAAATAGCTTAATAAAGAAAGTTACATCAATAGTAAAAGCATCTTCAATGCTAGGTTCTTATCCGGTTCTTAAGTTTAAGTTCCCATTGCTTATAAGAAACTTGCGTTGGAGCATGCTGACATGGTAGGTCAAATTGCTAAAATTTAAGCACCGTTGTTTATATAAGAGACGGTTGCTTAAGAATAAAAAAACAATTTAATATTTCCTTCTTTCACTAATGTCAATACAATAATTAAATTTTTTAAAATTTATTAAAAATGAAGTATGAGTGATTAAAAAGTGGAAGTGCTTATAAGCAATTTTTATTGGAGTAAAAATTATAAAAATGTAATATAAGTTGCTTATGAGTGACATGACAGTGCGAGATCCATTTAAAGTGGAGAAGAATTACTTATAAACAATTTTCATCGTAGATGCTTTGATGAAATTAAAGAAAATGTTACAGAAAAAATAGGAAAAATATAGGAGTAATTAATATATTTATAATTAAATTTAAAGTTACAACAGTTTCAATAAAATGGAGAAAAAAAATTATTGCGGTAAATATATCACTTTATCTATCGTCATAAGTTTAAAAGTCATAAAACATAAAATTTAGAAAAGTAATCACAAATAACTAATTTAATTTAAATTGTAAAGAAAATTCATACATTAATACATTATAATTTTTATCCAACCAAATTTAAATTATGAAATAATTATACAAATAATAGTAGTCATTTAAAACTCGTTAATACATTATAATTAACTTATTTAATGCGTAATAGTGGTCATTTGTAGGCAATTAAATAAATTAAATAACAAATTAATTAATGTCAATTCATTTAATTTATTCTATTTAATTCTTTTAACTGGTTAACCAGTAAGTTACTTGATATTTATTTTCTTTCTTTTATAATAAAAAGTATAATTTTTTTTACCATATCAGATCTTATAACAATAAAAATAAAATGATATATCGAATCTTAACTTCATTTTCAAATGAATCAAACATCAGACTTTGGTTAAAAAACAAAATGTTAAACCACTTGCTGATAAATTACATTTACTATTAAAATATATAATCAATAAATATCTTCAATTCATTAATTAAAAAGATAAAAACATGGTTTTATAGAATTAGTGATAAAAAGATAAAAATTGATCATGTAGTTTGTACATTTATTAGAAGTTATGTATAATTATTAAGAGTAAAATTGAAAAGATAAAAATAGATACCAAAAGAAGGAATTCCTTTTATTAAAATTGCTAATTAATAAGTATCCTCAATTTATTAATTAAAAAGATAAAAACGCTTTTTTATTTATTTATAAAAATTAGTGAGAAAAAAGACACTACATGCATTTGTTGAAAAAAGAAAATAACAAATTTATCCTAATAGTTTATATAGTTATTAGAAGTAATATATAATAATTAAGGATAAAATGAGAAAAATAAAAGTAGATATTAAATGAGAAAATCTCTTTTATTATTAGTATATGTTAATAAGTATCCTCAATTTGTTAATTAAAAGATTTTTTTTTATAGAAATTAGTGAAAGAAAAGGTCCTATGTGCCTCTGATTAAAAAAATATATTATCTTGATAATTTATACTATTATTAAAAGTTATCTTTAGTTATTAAAAATAAAACTAAAAATTTAAAAGTGGACATCAATAAAAGGACCAATAAAAGGAGCAAGTGCTCGGAAAAGGTTTGTCAAAGGAGGGAACCCTGGAGTTGATAGGCAATGATGGGGAGGTATAGATTATCAATGCACACATGTAATTTCTGGTATAATTTTTTTTAATCAATGTATTTAGAATAATTCTCCTTGCAAGTTATGTCCACACTCTACACAAATTTCATACCGAGAATGTGTTAAAGAAGAATGCTAGTAAATCACCATTGAAATTTATTTTGATATCATAAATTTTGTGACCGAATCTGATTGAGTGGTGTCACGAACAGTAGTAAGTAGTATGTTCCAACCACTTATTTCTCATTCCATCATATGGTTTGAACTTTAAACTTGCATAACAGAACAGAGGCCGTGCCAGCAGCATAAAAGATGGTGATGACGATGATGGTGAATGGTCAGAGTCAGAACCATCATAAATGGTACTGTACAGTGGAAGCAGAAAATAATAGTGACATTGAATACCACGCTACAGTGTCTGGACCCAAAGAAATAACCAAGTAAAGTAGTAAACAAATGAATGAATGCAACTCACTCTCCTTTCCCCCATCAATGTTATGTTCCCCTTCAATTTCAATGGACCAAATGCCACTTCCATAACTCACTCGCAAGACCCATTTAACAGTTAATTAATGCCACCACATAGGTTCTGTGCAATGCAATGCATGCTTATATTCATCACAGAAATATTTGTGTCAGCAAACTATGATCTAAAACTGAAAGGGAAAAGAAAAATGGGAATATGTGAATAAATGAGATCCCTAGGCACGTATATGCATATATGTATACTGTCATCGACTTTATCACTTCGAGGTCGGTAGCATTAGCTCATCCTTTCTGAATTCTGATGCCAAAATATCTTAATCTTGTAGTATACGAAAACAAGACCCTCTGACACACTACTTCTCTTGCTCTTCACATCTCTTATCTAGTTTTTGCAGTGGATCCCCATGATACATATTTTCACATAGCATGTTTTCCTTTCTAAAACCACACAAAAGGAAAATATACCAGAGGTCTATATGCTAATTTATAACTAGAAAACTTTACAGTATATATAAAAAGAGGAGCAAAAAAAGAAACCATATAATTACCAAATAAATATCTACAATATACAAGGTGGGAGGCTTGATATATGTAGATAATTGAAATGATACACATTTTGAATTTTTGGTTCCCAAACAAATGGGTCAAGGATTGAAAAGCAAGTCTCCACACTTGCATTTCCAACTCATTGGTTTGTAATTGGAAAGGTCATCACTTCTTGAGTTAGTAACAACTGTGGAAGCTTTTGCTGGTGAATAATAATGTCTTGTATGGCTTTGAATTTGAGACGCAACCGGGACTTGAACTGCTTCACAGTGTTCACAAGTGCTGCATCTTTTTTCACACCTTGGAGGCCTAGACCCTATCTGAGGTTTTGACACCACCGTGATTGATTCCCTCTCTCTCAAGTCCTTCTACACATATGTAAGTATTACTATTTCTATTACTATCATATTAACATGTTATGACATAGAAGAATTCACTTTATGGTTTTGATTTTGTACCTGGGCAACTTCTATAAAACTGGAAATTGCTCTTCCTGCATGCATATACACGTGAAGATAACAAAGTTAATTAGATAAAGAAAAAGATTGAAGTTGAGTGAAAGAAGAGAAGAGAATAGAAGCGGGATAGGGATAACCTTGGGGTGTGAAAGCAATAGCAATAGCAAAGAGAATGAGGCATAGAATGGTTTGTCTATATTTGTGGCAGGAGACACACACTCGAGTTAAGGCCATTTTTTCTGAGGGGCAGAAGAAAGGATTCAGTGAATTGTTTTGAGTGTAACTAAATACTAAAAGCTTGATAGAATGGTAGAAAAGAACAGTGTTTGTGTGAGAGAGAGCGAGAGAGAGAGATGATATGTGGCAGTGGAGCTGAAAAAGGTGTCCTAACGTGGGTCAGATATTGAATGCCACCCCATAATACACTCAGCCATGCCTTTTTACCCTTATTATTTCCCCATCAATTCATAAACATGCACTGCAGAAGATGTATTATAAATGTTGGACTTTGAGACCTCGTTTAGCGTGCCTCAACTCGAAACTCCAACTTGTATCACATGGGGACAAAATCTTCGACCACAAAACAAGAGAAAAACCAAAACACATGAACAACTTCACAGGTTGGGAATTCGTTTACTTTGGTTTTTATTTTCTTCTCAAGGGAGGAAAAACAACATGCTCACCACTGTTTCAACTTTGAACACGTCAAGCACCCTGTCTTGTAATATTTCCCAAGGAAGTCTATTTGCTACATTCATTTTAACCAGTAAAATGAAGCCATCATAATGATATTACAATGGTTCTACGCATACATTCATTTTTTTCTTTCATCTATGATTATACATTTACACTATTTCATTTTTCTTTCTTTCTTATCGCATTACTCGTCACAATTTGCATATTGTTATCTAGAAGACCTAAAATTGATCTTACAAAATAACATCAACTTGGTCACTATTGTTATAAGACTTGGTGAACATACCCAACTTACTATATACAGTATTATTGGGCTTATATGTGACTTAAGGCCATTCAGACTCATTCTTTATTCAACTACCATAATTTATTCATTATCAAGATTTTATTTAAAAAGATTGAATTCATATCATTCACATCGACTCTTATCTTTAATGAAATTTAATAGAAACAAGAAAAAAAATATATATCACATAGTTGTTACTAACTCTTCTCTTTTTATTCACAAAAAAAAATAATAAAATACTCTTCTCTTTTTACTACAATTCTTTATAACACTTTTCCTTTTTCTTTTTGTCTCCTCTCTTATATTGTTTTACTTTACTTTATATTTTCTCTCTTTTCTTCTATTTTTATCCTTGTTGTAAGATACGTAATGGAAATATATTACATAAATAGTATTGATCATATGGGTGTGTACACATTCATGTATAGCATTCGGTACATTTGTTAGTTATTACTTGGGAGTTGGGAGGGCATACGAAAATTAATGCAAGTCCTTCCATTTCTCTGTTCATTACAACTCCGTCTTACGCAAAGATGTGGGAATGGTGGATCTGTTGGACTTTTTTGACGAGCTTAAGTAAGGAGTCGTTGAATTCAACAGTTGCATACTGTTGTGGCATCCATATTCGGAAATTCCGGAGTCTTATTAAACTAAATTTATTATTTTTTAATACTCTGTAGTGTTAAAAATATAATCTTTCTGTTTTCTCACCTATTTCAAAACTTTGTAGTTTTTTTTTTTTTTAAGTGCTCTCATTCCATATGACTTGATATACAGTGCTGGAAAAATATAGAATAGGCACAAGAACATCTTAGTGCAAATACAATTGTACCCCCCACTCTATCCTTTTAATTCGTCAATTTATCTTGCCCTTCCTTTTGTAACTTCAGTCACAAAAAGTGACAAACACCCTCATCCTCAAAAAAAAATTTGGCATTGCCCCATCTATTAGAAGCTGGCAATGTGGGAAAAATTTACATCTCAAAATTGTCAATCATATGTTGAACCACGTCTGCTCCATCGGAATTGATACAATAAGTTTTCACCTGCATGAATATAAAATAAAATTCAAGCATACAGAATACACTGTTAAGACTTAAAACAAGTGATGATATACCAGGGTATCACTATAGATTTTCAAAATAGAAAATTTGACATTTTAGACCCCATCATGTAGCATACAGAATACGCTGTTCCCACATGATTTGTAACATTTGTTTCAAGAAGCAGAAACTTGCCTGAATGGTACTATGTGCGAGAAGTTTCTGCCTACTACCACTGAAGCTGACATCAATTCTGTCCCAGCTCATTGTTGTTAAGCTTCTGATCATTTCCTCTACAAGTGTCGTTAATTTGTACATATTTTAGCAATGATCCAAAATATAAAGCATCAATTCTACTTCTACATACAGATTTTCCAAACAAGTATGATGGTCCAATATACCCTTATTGACACTACTTTTACTTTAGCATGGACACAAAATTACGCATCATGGTGCATATCATATCAAGATCTGATCCGCTTGTTAAAAAAATGTTTCTCTTGTCTAACTGCTCTTCCAGAAAGGAAGACAATTAGTGTCAAGATGTCACTCCACCAAATACCTAGTATAAGACGAATTATTAACGTAAACAAAGTCCATACGTTTCCTAAAATAATCTTCAAATGACATCAAAGTTGATTTTATCTTTTTCATTTTCGCATTCATGCGTCATCAGAACACACAAAAGGGTACAAAAATGCTCTTCTTTTGAGCTTCAACCAAGCACTAGCCACCTCAGTCCACAACCAAACATTGGCATGCTATCATGTTAGGTAAGCCAAAAATATTTTAGATATCAGCACATGCAAGTAAATCTCATCAGTTAAAAAATGTGAAATACCTTCGAAGTCAAGTTTACTGGATCCACTACTCACTTTAGATTCAACAGGAACATCCTCAGCAACAGAATTAGATTTAGCTGTCTCTATATTTACAATATGCCGGTACTTTTCATGTCTTGCAAGATGCCGCCGCTGAATAAAAAACAAGATACAATTTTCATAAATTATGTATAAATTTAATGTACTTCATAAGCTTGATAATTACCTTTGGAAGCTCCTTTCTACGCCTGATAGATGACGTACTCCATCCAACAAGCTCTATTTAAAATAGTCAAGTTGTTCATGTAAGTATCAACCGTGATGATAAATTGTGTCGTAAAACATTAATTTAGGTCAATTTGATCCATAATATTACAAAAGAAAAAGTCAAATAATTTGGTTCCTTGGTGCCATTAGCCTATTTGGTTTCTAACATTGCACTAAATCATCAACTTAATAACTTACATGATCAAATTGATTATTGAATTTGTGGATTAAAATAACTGATGAATGTAATTTAAGGTATTCATTTGATGTTCTACTCATATATTGTGACATGAATACCGTACGGTTAATTATTCTGATCTTCTGGACCACAACAAAAGGATACGGTCATAACGAACATTTGCGTAGGCAACACGTCGTTTGAAGGAGCGCAAAGCAGACCTATAGAGAAAGAGGTGTTGACTGTTATTTGTTCATGCCACAGAAAAATCATAAGTCAATCACTTTAATCAAACTATAAATCTTACATGAATTTAATATCTTCGGTGTCACGCACCATCTGGAGAAGAAGAGGGGGTTTCCCATCGACACCATCGGTTAAAAATAGATGTTTTCCTGTTTTACCAAAAACCCCAGCAACACGAGATATTGCTTTCTCTAGAGAGTAAAATCCACAAAACACAGGAACCTGAAGTATGCATAATTCCAAAAACATGTCATGAAATTATTATCAACACCACACTTATATGCTTAATACTATGGTCTTGCAAGCCGCTGTTTAGTTACCACTAATGTTCATCACGTGTAGCAATGTAATCACACACATTGTAAAGCATTCAAATTACATAATTTTAATTTGAAGTAGTCACATTAGAGAACCAAGGTACGAAAGAATGACCTGTTTATGCCCTCTAGAACCAAGGTGTGGTGTTGCAGAGGTAATGAAATTTATGGGCTCTAGTCCTGCAATTTTTCCTTCATATTTTCTATCATGACATTCTTGATCTGAAATCTGTCTCTCACAATGTCCATTTGTCTGAGAATGTTCCATAGAAATGTCTCTCCCATAAAGCTTGGCTATTGCATATCTTGCCACCAAGCCACCTAAAGAGTGACCTACAAATGAAATTTTCTTGACACTTGGGTGACGTTTTATGACTGATATAACCTGAGAAAAGAGAAGAAAACAAATATCTTTTATCTTTCTGGATTTGATGCTACAAAGTTGAAGTCAATCGAACATCTTGAGAGCCGAAAAATTAGCATGTAACTAAGGCCAAAATTAATTAACTGCATGTGCAATAATTTATTACGAAGATCAAACGATTGAGTGTGAAAGCCATAACACACCTCGTCTGCTAGTCTATCTCCCATTACATCAACACCGTCAAATGTCAACATTGAAGAATTGCGTTCACTGCCTGCAATGCACCATGGTGATGCATTCCATTAAATGGAGGAATCCAGTTTGCTATGAAAGAGTGCAATAAATAATATAAATTTAGAACGAAGATAATTGAAACTGTTCCACTTGTTAGTCCAATTAAATAAGACGGGATGAAGGTTGCTTCTATTTTGCACAAAATTAGAAGCTCACTAACCATACATGATTGACTCTCAAATCTTGAGAACCAATTTTCATCACAGAACATTACATTTATTTCCAGAAAATAGGAAGAACCATCATTAACCCACGTCTGTCCCTTTTCAATTTCATAATTTGCGTGATCACTGTACAATATTCCCTACCAAATACCAATTCTATATTCAAAATATCAATGTGAAATAACAAAGAACATAAATAGAGCAGACTGTATAATTCATATATTATTATATTGTAAGGACTAACGGAACCACTCCATGAAACATAAGCATAATTTTTTTTTATAACTATTAGTAAAAACAGAAACTACTTCATCAACGTTGCACTGACTTAATGATACCAAACATCAATATTACAATATTACCTGATTAGTCACAGCCTGGACACAACAAACAACAAAGGAAGCTAACTCAAATGGTTGAGCAGAGTGCGTGAGTTATTGTAAACTTCTTGGTACTGAGTTTGATCCCCAGATATAATAATAATAATAATAATAATAAATAAAATAAAAACAAAGGAAGCTACCAGGATTGTGTTTGTAAGTACTCACAATGTACAACAGCATCCTCTGGATACCTTTTCAGAAACTGCTTAGCAGCAAATTTCCAATTCTCAGCGCTGCACAATCACAATCACATAACTTAAAGGGTCATATATGTTTTGGAAAATCATAAAGCTTCACAAAAATCGTTTAATCATCATGATTATTACAGTTAAAAAACAACCAGATAAACTATAGAAGGCTAAAACTAAGAGCAGATAGATAAACACAAACCTTCCTATGAGACCATTAACCATTATGACCAAGTGGATGGGGTCGGGACGATGACCAGACGCATCAACAACCTCAATATCAAAACCTCCTCCCGAGGGATCATGTTCGATTCTGAAACAACCAAACTTGGGGAAAAAAGAACTCCTTTTCTTGCGGTTCTTCCTTTTCTTGCTTTCATGTTTCACCTCCATCTTCTTGGCCCCTCCACCAACGCCTTCTTGATCTATTTCTTCAACCTGGGGTGCAACTTCTGAATCCATGGAAGGCTTTACTCAAAGAACCAAAACTATGATTTGGTGGTGTGGAAAGGGAAACAGATTCCGGCAGAAACTCTAAGTCTAAGTCGTAGGAAGTTGTTTAAGTAGTTACAAGATTCATAGAATCACAGTTCACATTATGTACTACAAAATAGAAATCAAGTGCTTGAATGGGACAAGGTACTCAAACCCGAAGCTTCCCTTCAATGACTTTCAGGTTCAAATCCTTGACTCTGACCCTTCAATTTTTATAGCCTTGCTGTTTCTTTTATTTGTATGTACTCATTTATCATTATTTTATACATATATTCTATGAGTCGTCAATCGACGACATTTCACATTTTGAATTATTTGATACATCATCATCTTATCTTATTCTTATGGCAATTATAGCAATCGCAGCAAGGCCAATTAAGGCTTTTCCAAAGTTCCATCTTGCAGATCTAATCTAACCAATATTTGGTGAATACAATACAACGATGGAACTGTACCCTGATCTGAACCGTGTAAACTAGACACGTGGGTCATTGCAGATTTTGTTGATTTAGTGTGACGATGATTTGGAATTGAATTAAATTTACCCCTAAAGTCTAAGCAGTTGGAAATTTCTTGTAAATTACGACACAATCCCCTAACAAACATTATATTCCATGTTCGTTCTAGAAACCTCAATAAATGGTGTTCCTTTTTCTTCCGCCATCTCTCTTTATGGTGGAAGATGAGAAAACTCCATCTAGAAAGAAACTGTTGACCCGTCAAAGTATTTTGGTGCCTACTTACCATCCAAAATATATTTCTGCCATTGGTTAAAATTGGGTGCGCCTTTCAGGTTTGTCCCACCATTTATTGTTTGAGTTATTTGTTATAACTTAAGTAATATTATATGTACAATTAAAAATTCATAAAATATTTTTTTATGTTTGTTTGTTTGTTTTTTTTTTTTTTATTGTAGATGCAATGTTAGTTAGATATAATAATGCTTCTTACAAATTATTTGTATGATGCTCGTCATGTGACATCGTATTAAGATAACTGGAGCAAAAGCTTGAAAGTAAAAATTGATTAAATACAAAGTACTTAGAAATATTTGGTGGATGAGCGTGAAATATCTACATAGAGATTGGGCGGTGGAGTAGTGGCAAAAACTGTAAAGTGAATTACAAGTTGAAAACAATGAGTCAGGAATAAACGTACATGAGGAATTTCTTGGTGTACGATTATACAAGTAAAGAGTGGGTATGGGTAACTCATTATCGTGAAAGCATGATTTTTATGCGATGTTAATGAAGATTGATGTGATTAGGATATTGATCCAGGAAATCATATACTTATGATAATTGATTTCGTGAATTTATTGTTTCGATATTATTTGGATATTTTTTAAGAGGATATTTAATTTCGGATGAATCTGAAATTGAGAATATTTATATTTAAAACATATATATATATGAGGCTTGAGAATATATATTAAGCATTTTTACGTGAAAATAGTCAATAGGAGTTTTCATGGATCATGTCGAGTTGAATTTGAATAAAAATTTAATTTAAATTAATTAAATTTATTTAGTTTGAATTGGTTCAAATTTCTTTTTTTTTATAATTAATTTGAACCAAACTAATTTGACATTAATCGGATTGTTTTGGGTTGGATCATCAAATATTTAATGATTTTTTAAAAAAAAAAAATATTAAAGTAAATAAATTTTCTAATATTAACTAAATTGATATATGGTCAAAAATCAACTAAATTAGTAGATTTACAATATAGTTTCTCTTGATTTATTTTCTTAATCTACTTAAGGATTTTAAATGCAAAAACACTCAATGTATTATTATATAGTTTATCTTGATTTTTTTAAGTAATTTTTTTAAAAGAGAGAATAAATAATACACATATTGAAACACAAAAATGTCTCCAAAATAATCAAAACGCTAACCAAATAAAAAATAATAATACATAAATTAATTGATTTAGTTTGGTTTGAGTTGATTTATATTTTTAATATGTAAATTTAATATTTGAATCAATTATCGGGTTTTATTAGTTTAGTTTAGGCTAGATCTAAACAAAAAAAAATCATACTAATTTAATTGATTCGATTTGGATTATAGAGTTTGTAAGATTGATTTGATTTGATGAGCACCCCTAATGCCTAATCCTAATTGTTTTCTAATTTATAAGAAACATTATATGGATTCCACGAGGATCAGACTTAAGTTCTCTCTTTTACTCCTGGCCATAGGCTAACTCTAGTGTCATGCTTAATCCCAACTCTTAACTTGAATTTTTCAATTAAAAAATTGTAAATAAAGTTACTATGTACCACTATTTTGATAATTTTATTTATCTATTTATTTATTATTATCATTTTTATTGTCATTACAACTATCAACACCACCACCATGATTGTCACCATCACTACAACCACCATCATTAATGTGATCATCACCATTGTCACTGTCATTATTGTTATCATTATCACTTCCACCACTAGCTATTGGCAACAACAATAGTAGGTAACAATAATAGTGATAGTAATAACAACGACAATGATAATAATTATAATGTAACGCTAAAAACAACGACAATAAAATGGGTGGTAATGTGGTGACGGTGATGATTGTGACAACAACAAAGATAAAAACAACTACGATGATAATTAATAAAAATACACGATAAATTCATTATTATTTTAAGCTACTAATATTATCGTTACCACCGATATAATTTTTTAAAAGGATGTACTAGTGATTAATTAAAGTTTGTAGCTTCTAATATTGGCAAAATATTGTAAAAAAAAATTAATGATACATGTACATAAATTTATATATAAATATCACCAAACATATAAATTGATTGATAGAATATTATTTCAATTTATCAAGAAACTTTGAATTAAAGTTATAAATATACATGTTAAATACTTAATAATAAATTTTTGTTAAATGTAATAATCTTGGTCGGCATGAGTAATTTTGCCTCCTATAAAAAAATTCATATCATACAAAATAAATAATATAAGCATATTTAAATATTATATTTTGATAAATATAAATTATTTATGATTAGATTAAAAAAATCATTAAGCGAAGATAGTGCTGATGTGCTAGCTCTTGTTTACTTTAGAAAAATCAAATCAAGAAAAGTGTGAGAAAAAAATAGAAAATGATCAGAAATATAACTGGGTGACAAAGCAATGATAGAAAATCATAATTAACATCCTTTTTAAGACTTTTTTTAAATATATTTTTTACTTTTTATTTATTTTAATAACCCGAGCCAGTTTTTATTTACTTAAATAATTCATTTTCATACTCAGGTGAGAAATTGGTTATTGGGTAACTGTTCAATAAGATTTGAATTTTTTTTTTCAAAATTCTATTGAGAAATCGGTTACCCTTTAACCTATTTCTCACTTAGACTTTATTTTTTTGTTTTTTTAATTTCAAAAATAAAAAAAAATTAATTTTAATTTTCTAAATATGAAAAATATGTTTAATGTTTAAATTCAATAATTTATAAAGAATAATATTTAAAAATGAAATTAATATTATAATTATTTTTAAATTTCATAATTGAATATTATACTTATATTTAAATTTAAAAAATTTATTTTATTATTTAAATTAAAATTATTAAATATAGAAAATTGAATACTGTAATTTAATAATAAATATATTGGTTTTATATTAATAATTATAGATAATTAAATTTATTATTGAAAAAATGACAATATTATTTTATTAAATATTAAAGACATTATATATTAAGTACAATAATTAAAATAGTTACATCGTTAAAATGAAAATAACTTTAAAAAAATAACTTAAACAAACTTCAAACATAGTAAATGAATAACATAAACCCTAAACCATATAACATTAGTTGTATAACTTCATTGCTTGGTCAAGGTATCTTTCAATCGCTTCCATCTCATGCAATAATCCAATATACGTCGTCGTAGCATATAATTTTAGACTTGTTAGGTCGTGCAATTTTGTGAACAATGAAAACATACACTCTACATCTTTATCATCCCTAAGACGACACGTTGTATATTTATATACACCACTAATACATGAAATTGGGAATCGGTAGTGGATGTCTATGAGAACTTTGTAATGAGGAAGATTAAGGTTATTATTAATAACCTGTTTCAGTTGCTCATATGGAATTTTCCTTCATTTTCTTCTTATCACTCTAAGGTCGGTGAAAGTGCTTCGTCGAATCTAGCCACGGATACTGTTCATATAGAACATGATAAGGAGCAAGTTGAATCACAACAATCACCCATTGATCATCGAAATCCAATAAGGAACCAACAACCTCCAAGGTGTGGAACTGGTGGACATAGATATCATTAAACTACCTTGCTGTTATGTAATTTGGTGGATTGTAATTGTGTTGTTATTCTTATTTATTCGATCTCCTATTTTGTTGTTATTTTGTTTTTATTTAAAGTTGTTCATCTCAATTAAAGTTGTGAATTTTAAATTAAATTATCTATGTTTTTTTATTTTTAATAAAACAAATAAGTTTTAACATTATCTTTATTTTTAACATGAATTTAAAATATTATACACAAATTTGAAAATTAAAATTAATTATAATTTTATAAAAAAAATCTAAAAATAAAAAAAATGAAAAAAATATTAAAATATGAAAATAAAAAAATAAAAAGCGAAAAAAAAAACCAAGTGAAAAATTGATTACTAGGTAACCATTTCTCAATGAGATTTTGGAAAAAAAAATTCAAATCTTATCGAGAAATCGGTTATTTAGTAACCAATTTCTCACCTGAGCCTAAAAACGAGTTATTTAGATAAATAAAAACTGGCCTATGTTATTAAAATAAATAAAAATATATATTTTTGAAAAAAGTCCCTTTTTAAAGGAAATAAATAAATATAACTGTTTTCAATAATATATATA